ATAAACAACAAGGTTCTGCTGTACAGCACAGGGAGCTGTGTTCACTATCCTGTGGCAAACCATAATGGAAAAGAATATGTACATGTATAACTGAGTCACTTTGCTGTACAGCAGAGATCGGCACAACATTGTAAATCAACTATATTTCAATATAAAAAAAAAGTCGAATTTCTGGAGGATGCTTGGAAATAGGCTTATAAAATTCTGAGTATTTTGTATCCCTTTCCAGGAAGTGCCTGCCTTTCCACAGCTCATACTGACTTACCGTCGTGCTGAGCCTCCTGACCTCAAGTTTCTGAATACAGCCCATTTTGTTGGGAGACTTCAGCCACTGCTTATGCCCATGAGTAATGAGATGCGAGGCACCTGCTTGATTTTTTTTAACTTTATTTTTTAAAATTTATTTATTTGGCAGCGCCGGGACTTAGTTGCAGCACTTGGGATCTTGATTGCCGAGTGTGGGATCTTTTAGTTACAGCATGTGGGACCTAGTTCCCTGACCAGGGATCGAACCCAGGGATCGCTCCTGCATTGGGAGCACCAAGTCTTAGCCACTGGACCACCAGGGAAGTCCCTTGCTTGATTTTTTTTTTTAATTGTTTCCCTTTGAACTGTGGCATAGGATATGTTTTGAAATACAGAGTTTATTTTGTGGTCTTCTGGCTACTGGACTTGGGAAAGGTAATAAAACGCCCCTGAAGGTAGGCCTGCCGCTGATCAAAGTGCATTTCTTTGCCCCCTGTAACCTGGGAGTTAGCACATTCTGGTGGAGGGATGTGGCTGTGCAGGATCGCACCTTACCAACCACTCACGGCTGTGATAAATAGTTCCTGGGACCCAGTGGGCTCTCAAAGGTTGATTTGCCACAAATCCTTATCACCTTCAAATAACACTCTCTTTTCTACAGCTCTGGGCAGCTAAATTTTCAGCCCTTTTTAGTCTTACAGAACTATCAGATTTATACCAAACAAGGGAATTATAAAACTTAAGTAAATTTTGTTTGTTTCTATCAGTTCAAAAAACTGAATTTCATGTGAGGATTCTACTAGTGTCTGCATCTGTTTGTTCCAGTTTTACATCCCAAAACTGGGGAAGTAACCACAGGGTGGCTTCAGTGACCCACTGGGGTCGCTGTGAAACAGACCTGAGCTGAAACTCCACTGGTCACCTGACCTCTATTGGCCCCCTACCCTGACTGGACCATGGTGACGTTTTGAGTCTCCAGGAATTTGTGTCAGCTTAGAACCAGTGTTCGATAATCCCTGGAAGTTTGACCATTTTCCCTTCCCCAGTGCGCAGTCACCCTGGTAAATAATGAGACTTGGGCTTTGGCAGGTCAGAAGAGGAAAGTTACCTGGGAAATCAGGCACATGTCGAGTAGGTTAGCTTTCAGGCTGGGTCCTAAGGTACACATTCAGATGCACCTGCACAGATGTGGGGAGAGGGGTCACCTTTTACGTAGAGAGGTCACCCCAAATAAAAGTGGCCTGCTCTGGCTAGAATATGGATTTTAGCTATTACAGCCTGAGAAATGTGATATCATCATCCATTTTCATTTTCTGATCTCAGTTTCATCTTTTGCCTAACGTGTGAAAGCTGTATTCTCTGGCCTCCAGCACTGAGAGTATTGAAATCCGTGACTTGCTAGGACTTGGCTGGGGTCTGGTGGGAATGATGATGTAGGAGATGGTAAAGGATGTGATTCCCCCAAAGTACCTTATACTCTGCCGACTGTGACTTAACTCAGGAGTATGTGGTGTAAGTGTCATTCTCATTTGATGGATGAGAAGACTGAGTCTCAGAGGTTCAGGGACTTGCCCCAGGTTCTAGCTATCTTCCCATCATACTCAGTCTCGAAACCACCCAGTAAACTGGGGGCAGAATTGGGGTCTCAAGCTAGACTCCTGTCTTCTGGTCTTCTATTACTCTTCTGTTACTGTGTGCTCTTCTACTACTTGCTTCTCAACAGAAATGCACCCACTGCATTGAGTGCCGCGTTCCCTCCCTCCATCTGGCTGTGATGAGAGGTAGCTGAGAGGCCCAGTAGACAATCTGCCTGAAGGAAAGGGCTGGAATTCTTACATGCCTCTTATGTTTTTTGTGGGCAGTTGGGATTCCTTCATGAAAACACATACTGCAGCTTCTCATGAAATAAGCCCAAGGTCCTACCCTGTGCAAAGTGCTTTTTGTCTCTGGGACAAGTAGCTACGTCCCCCACTTTCCATTCTGTCATGCTCACTGATGCTTTGTCTGCTTCCTGTCCAGTTCTGTCATCTCTACAAACAGCCCCCTTCTTTGGCGTCTCCTGACCTTAGCTCATTCCCCAGAGCAAGTCCCTCGATCCCAGGTCTCATCTACCCACTCACTCACTGACTGAGGGCACTTTTTTACCTTTTTTTTTTCTTTCCCTGGATTCTCATAACCTGGACTTATATGTAGTCTGTTTTACAGAGTTGTTGTCTTTTTATTTCAATTGCCGTAGTTACCAACTTTGTGTATAAAATAATCATCATTCCCCACCCTTTATTTCCCCACCAGAAGTTTCACTGTTTTCTGATGTGGCCTTTGCAGAAGGAATTTGATGCCTTTTTAATAGTTTCCTTTCTGGCTCTACCACCCCCAAACATTTCTTGCTCTCCTTTTTATGGGTCTTTACTCGGGAGTCTAGGTTGATTGATCAGGGCTCAGATCACCACTTCATTTTGCCGTCTTTTATTTATTTATTTATTTATAATTTATTTTTGGCTGCGTTGCGTCTTTGTTGCTGCATGCGGGCTTTCTCTAGTTGCAGTGAGCGGGGGCTACTCTTCGTTGCAGTGCATGGGCTTCTTATGGTGGTAGCTTCTCTTGTTGCGGAGCATGGGCTCTAGGCACAGCGGGCTTCAGTAGTTCTGGCTCAAGGTCTTAGTTGCTCCGCGGCCTGTGGGATCTTCCTGGACCAGGACTTGAACCCGTGTCCCCTGAATTGGCAAGCAGATTCTTAACCACTGTGCCACCAGGGAAGTCCCTGGGGTCCTTTTAGATAGAACCTCAGCCTACTGGAGCAGATGACCTAGAAAGAGGATTATGAGATGGGAAACAACTGATTTAAAAAAAAAAATCTGCCCTAAACTAGTTCTACCTGTATGACTTTTGATTGTGAGCAGTATAAACAAATTATATAATTACAGGGGAAATGTGGTCTGTCATATCGTGGTCAAAAACCTAAAGCTGGGCTTCCCTGGTGGCACAGTGGTTGAGAGTCCGCCTGCCGACGCAGGGGACACGGGTTCGTGCCCCGGTCCAGGAGGATCACGCGTGCCGCGGAGCGGCTGGGCCCGTGAGCCATGGCCTCTGGGCCTGTGCGTCCGGAGCCTGTGCTCCGCAACGGGAGAGGCCACAACAGTGAGAGGCCCGCGTACCACAAAAAAAACAAAACAAAACAAAACAGAAAAACCTAAAGCTTTTGCCTTGTCCGTCTAGTCATCTTCTTGGATCAACCTAGAACTTCCAGACCACTGGCTTTTTGTAGGCTATGTTCCTTGGTAATTTCGGGGCTTAGCAACATCTCATCTGGATCACCCATTCTCTTTGTGATAAAGTAAATGACTAGTGAAAGAAACCCTCTGGCAGAGGCTGTGTGAGGGGTTGCAGCCTTCATTTTTGGTAGAATGGAGACACTGTACGGGGGATCAGAGGACTTTTCCTCAGGGTCTGGCTCAGTCACGAATGATCCATGTGACCACCTGGGGCTGACCCAGCCTCATCAGCAAGATGAGACACCTGCCTACTTAGGCTCAAGCTTTTTGGGCTCTTGCAGTCACCAAATAACTTCATGCTAAGGCTTCAGTGTACCGTTAATTGCTTTATAAAGTGTATTGGGATTTGTTTGGAGATGCCAGTCAGCAGCTTTCCTGGAGTTTCTGTGGTTCAAAAGGAAAGACTTTCTGAGGAAGGCAGAGCTGGAGTTTCAAGTTTCCACATAACTTGATGACATCTTACATCCACTTCAGACTTCCTATGTACACCTCTCTGGTCCGTTTATTCCTGTGCCTCGTTATCCATCCCATCTCAGCCTAGAGTTTCCTTCTGGCTTCTCCCTGCTGATTTACTGCCTGTCTCTTAGCGGTCACTCAAGTCCTGCCCCTTCGGACTTCTTTAGATCTGGTGACTCCTACCCACCCTTCACTGTTCGTAAAACTTGACCTTGATGCAGATGCACAGCTAATGATGCTTGCTGTTTTAAACATCCGTTATCTCCTTCAAACTAAACTTCATAGAGATGGGCCTGTCACTTACCTAACTTGTGCTAGGCATGTGGTGGGCTACCAGAAAACACTGAGTTGGAGTGTGTCTGAAATAAACTTGTAGTGCCATTCTAGTTGCATCGGCAAGAATCCCTACACTAGGCAGGAAGGAAGGAAGGGAGGGAAGGTCTTTGGCTTAGCATGGAGTAACAGACATTTGACGGTCTTCTCACATATTTTCCCTCGTCTCAGCAGCAGCCCTGGGAGACGTGGGTGGTATGGTGCTGGCTGTTTGGAGACAGTATAATGAAACACAGTGGCGCTGCAGTCATGGATTTGAGTCTGTTAACTCTTAAGTCGCTGTGAGCCTCAGGTTCTTCATTTTATTAGATGGGGCTATTTCTTCCTACCTCCTAGGGTGGTAGTAAATATTAAATTGAACGTCAGGTGCCAGTGTTGGTACTCTGTGTTACACATGGCCATTTACAGGTGAAGAAGCAAAAGTGGAAACTGGGAAAGGTGAACTAAGTTGCCTCCTGGCTAATCATCAGTAAACCAGGTTCCCTTATCTTGTTATCACTTGACTCACCCTGTATGAGTAGAGATGGGCCTTGTTGTGCAGAGTTGGCTCCGTGCCAGTTATGCTGGTCCTCTTGGATTGGAGCGATCGTCATCACTGTCACTCCTACTCTAATATGCTACAGCCCTTTAGTCTACAAGTGGTGTGACTGTGTCCATCTCACTTGGGCTCTTTCTGGTCTTCCCTTGATTTAGGAGAAAGGATCCTGGGTTATGCTGAGGAGCCCTGCTATCTCTGGTTTGTCATGGAGTTCTGTGAAGGTGGAGACCTGAATCAGTATGTCCTGTCCCGGAGGCCGGACCCAGCCACCAACAAGAGCTTCATGCTACAGCTCACGAGCGCCATTGCCTTCCTGCACAAAAACCACATCGTGCACAGGGACCTAAAGCCAGACAACATCCTCATCACAGAGCGGTCTGGCACCCCCATCCTCAAGGTGGCAGACTTTGGACTAAGCAAGGTCTGTGCTGGGCTGGCCCCCCGAGGTAAAGAGGGCAATCAAGACAACAAAAATGTGAATGTGAATAAATACTGGCTGTCCTCAGCCTGTGGCTCAGACTTCTACATGGCCCCTGAAGTCTGGGAGGGACACTACACAGCCAAGGCTGACATCTTTGCCCTGGGCATTATCATCTGGGCAATGATAGAAAGAATCACTTTCATTGACTCTGAGACCAAGAAGGAGCTCCTGGGGACCTATATCAAACAGGGGACTGAGATCGTCCCTGTTGGTGAGGCGCTGCTAGAAAACCCAAAGATGGAGTTGCACATCCCCCAGAAACGCAGGACTTCCATGTCTGAGGGGATCAAGCAGCTCTTGAAAGATATGTTAGCTGCTAACCCACAGGACCGGCCTGATGCCTTTGAACTTGAAACCAGAATGGACCAGGTCACATGTGCTGCTTAAAATTCAGGGCAAAGCATCTTGGGTGTTTTTAAACTAGGTGAGTGTACTTCTTTTTGTTCTGCATGCACACTTCCTGGACTACTGGATTCTTCAATCTGAGCCCAGGGAGGCGGGGGGTATGGAGTTGGGGGCAAATGCAGCGTTGAAGAGAACTAAGTGCTGGTTACCAAAGATTCCTCCCAAGTCTCAATGAAGAAATTGAGGGGTTATTTGAGTACAAATGAGAAAGTCTAGGGAAGTTTTGAGTAGACATTGCATTTGAGCTGAGTCTCTTAAGTTTTTTAGAAATACTTTCTCATCAATAAATGCTTACTGTAGAAAATGTGCAAAAGAAGTACGGACATTTTTTTCAGCCTATAAACACTGTCCCCAATTTGTATCCTTCCTACTCGCACATCCAATTCTGCATAGTTTAGATCATGCTCTTTTAGGTTTAGTTTCCTGCTCTTCCATTCAGCTCTAACCCAAGCATTTTCCATGTCATACTTTGAAAGCATGGCCTTCAGTACTTGACATTCTATTATAGGTACAGTAACGTAACCATTCTCCCACTTCAGATAGCACATGTCCATTTCTCCATTTTAGATACTATAAACAGTGTGTGAGTGACTATTCTTTTAGAGAAATCTTTGCTTATTTAACAGATTGATTGCGGGCTTTCATTTGTCAAGTACCGTGCTAGGCTCTGGGATAACAGTGGTAAGCAAAATCAGAAAACATACCCCATCCTCATGACTTCTGCGGCTTAGTCAAGGAGAGAAACATTAAATCAGTATTTATCATAGTTGCTTTGCAACGAACGTAAGGAAATTGACCTTTCAGGGAATAGTGCCCAGAAGCAAGAGTAGGGAATTGGAAGCTGAGGGGAGCATCCCAGGTAAAAGGCCTAGCCTCTGCAAGGGACCTGAAGCCAGCGGGAGCCTAGCATATTGGAGAGCCTCCAGCAGTTTGGAGTAGTGAAGGTTGTAGTGGACAGGTGGTAGTTGGGGAGGACAGTGGCCTGCTGGAGCGTGGATAGAGCTGAGGTGGATAATCCAAAAGTGTGTACCAGGAACAGCACTGGTAGTTCAGTTGGACCAGAGTCTGAGATGTGAGCAAGGGAAATAAGACTAGAAATAAGGTGAAACATGGGACCCTGGAATTTGACCTTGACTTCGTAGGCATTTGGGAGCCATATGCAAAGCAGAGCAGAGCAATGTAGCATTAAGAGCTTCAGCATGTGTAAGCTGATTTGAACCGGAGATTGGGAGACCAGTTGGACCAATTATTTGATTCACGCTAGTAAGGGATGTTGTTGAACCTAAATGTAGTAGCACTGAGGATAGAGGAGTGCTTGGATCTTTGGGGCAGAATTGGCAAGGCAACTGGCCAATATTGAAGTAGAAGGAAGTAATAGATGTTGGGAGATTAATGTCAGTAGATATACATGCTGGCTAGCGTATTGGTCAGGTTTGATTCATTTTCCTTAAAGGGAATGGAAGAGAAAAGAACATTGAATACTTACCATGAATGCTAGGTATTTTCACATGTACCATTTTGTTTCACCTTTGCAACCCTGCAAGGGTTAAGTCATTTGCCCACGATCCTACTAATTTAAGGGCAGGTATATCTTAACTCATGTTCCTTCTCCCCCCCCAGCCCCTTTTTTCTTAGTATCAAGATGGCAAACTGGAAATAAGCTAGACTTAGATTTTGCTGAAGGCTTGAGAGGAGGTGATAGGGGGTGGAAGCAGATCCCAGTGGTCATGAAGAAGGAGCCTCAGCACCTGGGGCACAGAGCCCTCTATTACCTAGGTGGGTTCTTAGTCCCTTCTTTCCCTTCATCACCCTCACATTTCTGGTTGGTATTGGTTAATGCTGATTTGAGCCTGGTTATGCTTCAGTATTCAGTGAACTTACTTCTCAAATGAGTCACTCCAGCTTTAATTCTTCCATTCCACAGACATGATCTTCCAGGTGCCAGGCCAGTTTGTCCTACTGCCCAGTGAGTAAGAGAACAGCGTTCTTAAAGCTAGGTTTGGGGTAGTACCATGTTCGAGCCTAAAAAGGGTTGGCTAGACAGTATTTTAATTGTATTTCATGCTGTCACTTTCCATTTCCATCTCATCTTTTCTACTTTAAAAAAACCTCTTAGAATTCAAGTTTGCCCTGGGGTAGAAAGAAGGTTGTCATTGGAAGAGGGATCTGAATTTGGGTTAGGATTATGGGGTTGTCATAACTAATTGAAATCATGGCTCCCACTTGGACATCCACACTTGGGATTTGTGCTTTGTTGCAGGGCAAAGTTAAAGTTAAAGCTTAATAGCAGTGATTGCTTCAGGTAGGAGAAATAGGTGACCTTGGGATGAGAAAAGATCAGAAACATAGTTACGGCCAAGTGTCCCAGACTCTGACAACTAATGAGGACAGTGCTTGGTCAGTTGGTACCTATGCTGCCCTGTCCTAGCTGGGCACTTAGAACTGTGGGCCGGGTCCAGGGCCCTGGTCTTTGTGACCAGGAGCTGAGCCTTGTAGTGCCAGAGGTTCAAATCAGTTGTGGTATAAATGAGTATTTGGCTGGTTAGAGAATCAGAGGCTTGAGCTGGGAGGAACTGTTGAGTCTAAACTCCCCTCTCTCCCAATCAAGCTTTATAGATGGAGAAGCTAATTCCATATATTCATTCAACACATTTATTGAGAAACTATTTGCCAGGGACTATTTCAGGCACAGAAGATACATTAGTGAGCAAAACCAACAAAAATTCTTACAGTTGTAGAGCTTACATCTACTGGGGAGACAGACATAACTTAGCTGTGGGTTAGTGGAGGGATATAGACCAGGATAAGGGAGATCAGAATGCAGGGAGGTGAGGGATGGAGGTATACTTCCAAGTGGAAGAGATCAGGGATGGTCTTAAGACAGTGACCTTTGAGCAAAGGTTAGAAGGAGTAGAGGGAGTGAACCATGAGGATTTCTGGAGGAAAAACATCCCAGACAGAGGCAATAGCCATTATAATAGCTTGAAGGCTAGATAGAGTGAGCAGGGAGGAGAGTATAGGAAAAGAAGCTAGAGAGGTAATTAGGAGTCAACTAGAATAGCCCTTGTAGGCCACTGTGAGGATTTTGGCTTTTAATCTTCTGGTCATTGGTGTGTTTTCAGCTGTATGATGTTTGATCTTTTGAAAGGATCACTGTACCTGCTGTGCTAAAAGTAAACTGAAGGGAGCAAGTGAGGGGACAAGATGGGAGGCTACTATGATAACCCAGGTGAGAGATAATGGTGGCTTTGAACAGTGGAACAGGGGAGGTAATGATTGGATTTTGGGTGAATTTTGAAGTCAACCAACACGGTTTCGTGCTAGATTGAACATAAGATGTGAGAGAGAGGAATTAAGGATGACTACAAGTTCTTGGCCTTGGAAGCCATTGGAAGGATAGAGAGGATCAAATGAGATGGGGAAGAACAGATTTGACTGGAGAAAGTTAGGTCTTGGTCATCTGAAAGTTTGGAATGCCTGTTTAGAATCCAAGTACAGAAGTTGAGGGACTTCCCTGGTGGTCCAGTGGTTAGGACTCCACACTTCCACTGCAGGGTGCATTTGGTTCCATCCCTGGTCAGGGAACTAAGATCCTGCATACCCATGCAGCTCGGCAGAAAAAGAAAAATAATCACTGGTGACCAAGTACAGAGGTCGAGTAGGCTGTTGTATGAGTCTAGAATTCAGAGGAGAGAATGGTCTAGAGGTACAAATTTTGAGATGACTAAGGTTCTAAAGTGGGCATAGAGAAGATTTCAAAGCAAAACAGCTTGGAGAGAAGGAAAGGAAGCCAGAGGTATAGGAGACCTGGGCATGGTGTCCTGGAAGCCAGGTGGAGAAAAGACCTCAGGAGGAGGAAGGAATCAGCCGCGGCGTGTTCTATAGGTAGGCTGAGTGAGATGAGATGAGACTGGCCACTGACCATTGGATTTAGCGATTGGGAAGTCATTAGTGTTCGTGAGCAATTTTGGTGGCTCATAATGAGGAGAACCCTAACTAGAGTGGGTTTCAGAGAGAATGAAGGGGTGGAATTGGAGACCGTGAGAGAGTAGGCCAATGATTCTCAAAGCTTTTGGTCTGAAGGCCCCATTGCACTCCTGAAATTGAGGATTCCAGAGTTTTTGTTTTGGGTTATATCTACGGGTATTGGTATTAGAAATTAAAACTGAGAAATGTTTTAAACGTTCCTTTCAAATGAATAGTAATTCAGTTACATATTAACATACATAATTTATGAAAAATGACTTTTCAAAAACGTATTTAGTGAGTAGAGTGGCATTGTTTTATATTTTTGCAAATCTTAACAACTGCCTTGATAGTCAGCTGGATTCTTATTTGCTTTTGCTTTGTAGACTGGTGCTATGTCACTCATCATGTAACTTCTGGAAAACTTCACAGTACACTTGTGAGAGAATGAAAGTGGAAAAGGCAAATAACTATGAAAAGTTTTGGCTTCGTGTACTGCTGAGCTACAAACCACATTTTGATGCCTCTTCCTGAGGAATTTTACTGTGAAGGGGAGCTGAGAAGTAGGGAGAGACCTAGAAAGAAGGGACTTATTCAAGGTCCCAAATGAAGGGGCAGAACTTGTGTGTCCTGATTCCTGACCAGCTTTCCTATGAAACTTTTTGTCGTGGGTCAGACTCTAGCTGCATAAAGGAAACCCAGTCGTTCCCAGTAACAGCGTGATGAAGGAATGGTGAAGGAACGCCTCAGCAATCTAGGATTGTAGATTTCAGAGTAATGTTTAAATTGGGGCTAAATGGTTTCAGTTTTTTGCAACCATGAATGGAATTGCACTTTGGGTTGGAAACATGGGATTCCTCTGAGAGGAGTGTTGCCTCGTGGACTGTCCAGAATCGAGTCCCACTTCTGTGCTTTACTGGTTCTGTGACCTCAGGCAAGTTATTTTACCTCTCTGGGTTTCATCATCCATAAAGTGGAGTAGATCATACTTATCTGATTGAGGTTGTTGGAGGAGTTGCAAGAGGCTGTGAAAGTGCCCCGTAGAAACAGTCTAAGTGAGATGCTGGACGGCACAGTCTTAGATGCACGCTTGGGCTTGAGGTGGAAGCAGTGTCTTCTGTTCCTCTGAAGATGGTGGTCTTTAGTTGCCTTGTTTCTGAGGATTGCCAAATAGCTTTCTTCTTTGAAACAAAGCTATAGTCAAGGCAACTCTGTCCAATTGCTTGTTCCAGAAAAATGTCTCTGTTTTTAAAGGTTACTCAGTGAGGGGTCCTAGCTCTCTCTTACTTGTCACTTTTTGAAGATGTTTAATAATCCCTAATGGTTCCTACCATCCATCCAAAAGCCTTACCCAAAGCAGGAAGCCAGCCAGACTGATGTTCCAGGTACCACTGCCCACACGTTACCGGGGAGGTTGCTGTGGGATAAGGGACTCTGCATTCATGGCCAAGTTTGCTGTCTAATACACAAACCTCAGTTACCTAGGGCCTTTTGAAGCCAGGGCCTTGAATGATGTTTATTTGGAGTGGGCAGCTCAGGTCTGCTGAAGGAAATCAGATGTTGTTGTGACCTAAGGGGTCACAGAGAATGTTCTTTGTACCATATGCGATCTTGGTAGCTGCCCAACATCAGAAAGAAATTGGGCCTAATTTCTTGTTGAAGTAATAAATGATATATTATTCCCTGGCCTAGGGTCCAAAGATGTGGCTCTGGGCTAACATGTTGGGTATCCGGTTGGCCCCTTGACCTGGGCTTCAGATTTTGTTTCTGTTTTATGAGATCTGAGGTTTTTTAACATGAGGATTCCTAAACCCCTAGTCGAACCCCTTTGCTGGAGATTCAGAAGCTTTTTCAGCTCATCTCACGGGCAGCAAGCAGCACATATGCTTACACTGAAGCTGTAGAAGCCAATTCAGGTCATTCGCTTCCTTTCGGCTGGAATTATACCCAAATTGTGTCACATTATAGGTATCGAGTTAATCAAAAGTAAGACTAAAAACTTAAAAATGGGGGGGAAATGTTTAGTTAATGTGGTTTGTTTTAAACAACAGAGTCTTCAAAACAGAATCTGGGGTAGCGGGGCGGGTGGTGGTAAATTTTTAAAAGATTTTAAGTGCGAAATTGGGAACCCAAGACTAGAGAGGTCTCCAGGCCCCATCTCTGAGTGTGACTTGCTGACCCAGCCATCGGAACTAACCCAGGAACACATAAGACAGGCCTTTCTCTCACAGGACTGCCCTCCCTGTGGGAAGGAGCAGGATGAGACCATGGGTGAGACCTAGCTTCTGAGAATGTAAGACCCCCACTTGGAGCCTCACCTCCTGAGTCTAGAAGGCTAAGGCTTTGATGGAGGGCAACAGTGCCAGAGATGATGATAATTAATGGACATCCCTGGGCTGGGTGCTTTATGACCATTATTTCATTTACTGCTTTTCAAGTAAGTTCCTGAAGCTCTCAGAGCTAGTAAGGGTCAAAGCCTAGATTTCAACCCAGGCCCAAGTCCATGGCTGTAACCAGTATGGTGTATTGCCTCATGGAATTGCCTGTAAATCTCAAATGTTTTCAAAATTCAACAAACAGTTGAGCCTCACGTATATTGCGCGGCACTAGATGGGGCCGGAAATGCATTCTGAGTTGAGTAAGGTGGGCCGGAGGAGCCTGGCATTTAGTCGGTTTCCAGTTGGGAGGTTGTTTCTTCTACTCTGAGAAGGTTCAGAGTGTGCTGGTAAACACCTAGGTAGCCCAAAGGACAGCAATGGAGGAAGACTTCCCGGAGAGGGTGTGACTGCCGAAGAGACCCAAGTCAGAAGTCTGATTCTCACAGCCCAGAGGCTCATCCCTCTTAGTGTCTGGTGGAGCCTTGAACTGCCCAAAGGGAGGATGGGAGGAGCAGAAGAGGGAAGTGCCAGCCTCACCTTGAAGTGGATGATTAGGTCCTTGGAAAGAACGGAAGTTTTAGTTAGATTTGGGGGCGGGGGTGTTGGTATTCAGCCAGTGACTGTTAATTCTTAGATCCAAGCAGAACTAGAACTGCTGAGCATCTTTTGAGTCCCTGTCTATAACTGGAGGCCCCAGCCTTGCTTCTACCCTGTCTCACTAGACTTCACGGGGCTGTGTGAGAGCAGAGGGTTGTGGGTTTGCTGCTCTTTTCCCTGGGAATGTAAAGCTCAGCGTTCACTGAAGACCTGGCAGTTCTAGGAACCATTGGTGTGCAGGCCATCCCTTGGTTCTGGGTCTGTCTACTGGTGTTTCTTGGGAGATCCCCCAGGTGGGGAAGGCTGGCATTTGTAAGGCCAGGTAGCTCCCTGGGCGCCAGCTTTTGCCCCCGCTGTTGCCCTCTCTGTCTGTCACTCCTGCTGTCTCAACACAAGGAAACTGAGCTGTCTGTTATGTAATGGGGCTGGTTGCCCACAAGGATAATCTGTCCCTTGAAGCTCTGCAGGACATCAAAGCATTCATGAGGGGACAGGCCTGCCCCAGGGCTGTTGTTGCTCACATTCTCCTCCTCCCTGGCATCCTTGGCTCCTGTCAGCCTAGGCAGCATCCCTTTGGGCAAATCAGAATAGCGCCTGTAATCCTCCAGCTGTGAGCAAAGCTGCCTGACGGTTGGGGTCTTTCCAACTCCCATTTTCTCTTACGCTAGGGACACAGATACTCCCTCCAACAATAACAGCTCTGGTTCTAAAAACCTGTTTTGAGGGGCCCTCTGACTTGTGCAGGGCAGAGGCCCTGCCCTTTTATCTCCAGCCCTGAATTAAGTACTTTTACATAGAGTATCTTATTATCACATCATCTGCGTAAGTGTTCTGTTATCTGCCATCATTGTGCAGATGAGGAAGCTGAGAATCATTTTGTCACAGTTTTCAGAGGCAGGATTTGAAACCTGATAGCTGACTGGAAATTCCACTCTTCTATCCTGCCTCCTACAGCTTCTTTGAAAGCAGCTTTTGATGGGTTTATAGGTGGGTTCCCCCTCCTATTATCTCCACACAGAGGCCCCCAGGTATTAGTGTCGGTGCTGCCCGTGGGCATCTTTCAGAGTCTGACAGTCTCGGCACAGCACACCGCAGCAGGGCCACCTTCTGCTCCTTCAGGTGAGATCACCTGTGTGTTGATTCCTCTTGTGTCACACTGATACAGCCTCAAACATGGGCAGGCGAGGCAAGGCTGGGATGGTGAGGCACCCACATAACCAAGGGCCGGGCGACAGTGGCAGAAGCCACACAAGCAGGCAGAGGTTAAAATTCCCAAAAGGTTGGAAAGCGGGAGACCCAAAGTGCATCCCCTTTGGGGGCAGCAGGAAAGCACTGGCACCGAGGGGGTGCTGACAGGACAGTCTATGCACCAGGACAAGGAAGGGCTCTGATGTGACCCAAAGGCACCCTGTTGTCTCTGTTCCCCGGGACCTGGCAGAAGCCCGTTCTGAGTGAGCTTAGCCTGGACACTTAAGGTTGATGAGGATCCAAAGCAAAATGGCAGGGTTGCTGGGTTTCTCCCTGACCCATCTTCCAGCTCATTTATTGACTCTTGGCCAAAGCCGAGGGCTTTCATGATTCGTCCCTGTTGTTGATGTGGCTGCCTGCAGCCCTGCGTTGAAAGATTCTGAGGCCAAGTCAGATTTGGTGAGCAGGAGCCCTCGTATGACAGGCGCTTGCCCAGCGGTGGTCTTGGTAGTGTAGACCCCAATGCTGTCCTCTAGGAGCTCACAGGTTAGCTGTGGACCTAAGACAACATTTAGTTGTAGAAATACAGGAAGCCTGGAGAGAGTGGAGGGAAAGCTTCCTGGAGAAGGTGGTGCCTTGGGCTGGTTCTTGAAGATAGGTTTAGGGGCACCTTGTAAGCCAGGTGGTGAGTGAGGAGGTCACATCTCAGGGATTGTGTGAAACTCGCCCTGGCACACTGAGGCTTTGTTGGGTACAGGACTCAGCTGGTAAGGGGAGAGGGGACTGTCGTTGTAGTGAAGTACCGTCGGAGGGGCATTCAAGATGAGGACCTGGAGAGAATGCCCAGGGTTCTGTCTTGATAAACTAGGGCAGCAACATATAAGCTCCCAGCCGCTCTTTTCATTTCTACTAGTGAGTCTTCTGTGATTTTACAAAATCAAAGGAAATGGAGACCTCCTCCAGCATTTCTAGGATTCAGAGGCATGCAGGCCTTAAAACTGCCGGCGAAGTTTAAAATAAATCAATACAGTAAAATACTGCAGTGAATTTCCCAACTTTAAAGGAATTACGCTTTCAGTTACAGGTGCCAGGGGAAAGCTGTAACTCAGCCTGCATTGTACACAGGTCAGAATTCTGTATTTTGTTTCTTTGTAAAAGGAAGTGATGTCTAGGGACTCAGGAGGAGTGGATTAGAGCCACCCAGGCACACCTTAGGGCATAATGAAGAAGATGAAAATGCTTCTATTTTCCCAGGCTGCATAAAGGAGCCAGAAGTAGGGCCTGGGCAGGTAATCTTATGAATGGTAGGTAACCTTGGCTTTTTATAATTCCAAGGCCTGGCACTGGAGCAGTAGTGGAAGGCAGGTGGGCTCTGGTACATCATGTTGGATTTTGGTATTGACCATCTGTTCCAGTGGGAAAGACACAGATGATGTGAGCCAATTGACTCATTCCGTGTTTACTTCCATGCTTTTGTAAAAAGGAAGCCCTTAAATGTCATGTACAGCACCCTTTTGTTTTTTTCCTGCTTTTTTCGTACATGTCTAAGGCATGTCCTCCCAGTCTAGGGCAAAGCTAAGGCATGGACTGAAAAAAGGGTAGTGCTGTCAGATCTTGGCAGAATACATGGGCCTTTCCAGCCCAGCCCAGCCTTGTACCAGACATAAGGAGAGCTGGAAGTGACAACTAAAGACTCATTTGTTGTTAGTAACCAGATTGCAGGCTTGGATGTGATGAATGTTTGGAAGGAGTCCTTGGTTTCATGGGACAGCGGAAATGAGTGTGAATGTACCACACCCGAGACCAAAGAACAGGGTGACTTTCACCTTCCAAAAAAAAATTGCTTGGGAGTTTAGGCCAGTTGCCTAAACTGAAATCCAGATGGCACCACTGAGGTGATCCAGAGAGCCTCCTCCCTCCCCGACCCTGAGCATCTCGGGGCACCGGCACCAACCGGGTGTAGCATGGAGAGCCTTCGGGAGCACATCACTCCAGCCCAGTGTTTTGGAAGTCCTATAGCAGGGGGACACCTGTCCCCAGAAGTCCAGTTTCCCACCTACTCTTAGAATTTCGTTGAGATGGTCATACGATAGTGATGACATAGGCAGACCCAGATGTGCATCTTCAGAATCCACAGACTCATGTTACACACCCTGGGTAAAGTTTAGAAAGACTGCTTCCATTTTATCAGTGGAAGGAACTGAGGGTGTCAGGAGTAAGAAGTTTTCTACTTAACAGATCCAGAGTCTATCCTGTGACCTTGAAGACATCAACATGCTATTGCCACATTCCTCCCTGCTCCCCCTCACCAGCTCGCACCCCCCCCAGCACACACGGTGACCACGACAAACTTCAGCACTGTTGGTTCTCAAAGTATGGTCCCCAGACTGGCAGCATCTCCAGGAAACTTCTTAAAAATAACGTATTTCTGGGCTTCCCTGGTGGCTCAGTCGTTGAGAGTCCTCCTGCCAATGCAGGGGACACGGGTTCATGACCTGGTCCGGGAAGATCCCACATGCCACGGAGAGGCTGGGCCCGTGAGCCATGGCCGCTGAGCCTGCGCATCCGGAGCCTGTGCTCCGCAACGGGAGAGGCCACAGCAGTGAGAGGCCCGCGTACCGCAAAAAAAAAAAAAAAAAACATATTTCTGACGCCACCTCAGACCTACAGAGCTGGAAGCTGGGGGTGAGTGTTTCAACAGGAACCTCCAGGTGATGCTGATGGCACGCTCAGGTTTGAAAACTGCCCTGGCAGAAGAGGGTAAAGACACCATCTGCCTAGCATCCTACAGTTCTACCCTTAGAAAGCTTGCATCGAGGCCTGAGAACTAGGAGGGCCTGCCAGCTTCTAATTGGGGCTCTGTCTTCTGTACTTACGTAGCACGGGGCTTTGGACAGGTCACGCCCTGTAGGTTGTCGTTTCCTCATCCAGAAAACCAGAGTATAAAAGGTGGTCCTCTTTCCCCTCGTCCCTCAGCCCCTCAGCCCCGGTGCGTTCAAGTTCCGCAGTGGGTGTGGTTCTAGGACGGGGACTCCTCTAATTCTTGCTTAGTTTCTGCCTTGTGCATTTGTCTTGAGGATGAGGTGAGGCCCTGTGGCCATCTGCTCCTGGGGGGAGGAGGAGGAGGAAAACAATTGAACTTCTCCTCGGGCTTCCCAGACCCTGGGGAAGTGGGCTTCTAAGCCATGATAACAGTGAGCGTGTAGGGGTGGGGTGCCCTCCGGAGAGTCATTCAGAGACATAACAGATCCCTGCGAGGCCGCTGTGATAGGACAGGAGGTCACTGTTAGAGGAAGGGGAAGTCGAGGGGCAGCAGGCATAGGAAAGGGGGAAGCAGCGGGGTTGGAGTTGGGCTTACGTCTCTGAGTGGAGTCTTAGACGTGGCTTTGAACCAGACTGGGAAACTTCACTTATTCTTTCCAGGCATGTATTAAGTACCTACTGTGTGCCTGGTGTGGGCCGTGGAGATAAATATTGCTCCCAGCCTCAGTCCATCTAAACCTTAGGCATCTCTCTGAGTCTTGGAGTCCTCGTTTATAAAGTGGGGTTGCCAGCACTTAACCCATAGGCTTTTTGTGAGTAAATGAAAAATTCATGTAAAACTAGCCTAGGGGTGCTGGGTATGCAGTAGGTACTCCACAGCTGTTGAGTCCTGCCGTTCTTTCATACCAGTTGTTGGCCATGCTGGTAACAGAGCTAGAAGTTGTATCTCAGAATATATGCAGGTTCTTGGCTCCCCCTCACCCCCGCCCCCCAAAAATAAAACACTGAACGTAAAGCGCCTTCATGGGCACGGAGTGACCTCCATAGACCCAGGGTTGCCTTCACAGCCTTTATTTGATGGCTGAGTCTTGCTGTGTTTTGTTCTAACCCCCTTTGTAATCAGCTTCTCATTAGTTGACTGATGTATCTTACTCTTCTGAGTCTGTATTTGCATATTCATTCTGCTGTAATTATGTCTCAAGGACATAGCATTTTGTTTTTGTATTTACTTTTGCTTTTTAGAGCTGAAAACCTGTGCTGTCACATGGGCAGGCTGGTGGTTCTGCCAAAGAGCAGCTTTCTAGCGCTGGCATCTCACTGGTTTTGTTTTTTTTTAATAGTTACATAACATTAGAACCATGATTGCTGGCTATAAAATTGATTTTGAGAGCCACTTTAATTTGTAAATTGGGAAATACTTTCTATTTGGGGTTAAGGAAAGGAGTACAGGGGACGGAGGTAGAGGGAGAAGGTCTCTACCAGGAGCAGAGGGGTGGCCCTTCCCTTAAGGTCAGTCCTTCAGCTGTCCTGCCGTGCCTTGGTTTGAATTCTGTATAGGCCTTGGGGTGGAGGATGGCCCCACCTGCCTTCCACCAGATCTCCTTTCAGGAACCCAGGAGAGTCCTTTTTTGCACTTGTTTAGCAAATGCTTAAGGAGAGCTTTTGCGGAGAGCTTTTGCAGCTTGCTGGGGATCTTGCATGCACTTGTTTCTGTGTAGGATCAAGCCTGCTACAGCCTGGAGCCTTTATCATCTGTAAGGCATGGTGGGGAGGTGCCAGGGAGCACTTTCTCTTACCTAAACTTACTGAGCCCAGGCTGTTTGCCAGGTTCATACTCTTCCCGTTTACTGTCTCGTTGAATGCTCACGTGCATCCTAGGTACGGTGTCTGCCCTGCTCCCACTCCAGAGAGTGATTTGCCCCACTGGCCACGTGGCTAGCGCGTGCCAGCTCCAGGCTAAAGCTCGGGTGTCTGTGCTCTTTTCCATCGAGCTTCCAAAGATGTTGCAGCACGGTACTGTCTCAGTGCTCCCAGGAGCTCAGAGGACCGAGTACTGGCTTTTTGTTGAAGAAGTAAATAACAGCAACCTGTAGGACGTGTGACTTAAGATGGCCCTTGAAGAATGGAGAGCAGACGAGCGTCTTCTAAGCAGGAGACACAATGTGCGCAAAAGCAGAACACTGAGAATTTGTGGAAAGAGCAGATCTTTGGTTTGGTTCACGCAGAGGCTCAAGTTGGAGAGTGAAGTAGCGCCAAGTTGCCAAGAGCCTTGACTGTCAGCCTAAGAAAGGTGAACTTCATCCTACAAAAAAGGTGGCGGTGATGTACAAGGCTGGAGTTTTGGCAGATGAGTCGGTCACAATGAGGGGAGAGCTGTTAGCCCCCTAGGGGAGGGAGATAAGATGCTGCACCTGACAGTGCCGCTCTCCAGAAGGTGCAAGACTGCACTGGCACCTGCCCGAGCACAGGAGGGGAGAAAGGGCCACCACTGACCAGGGCGATTACAGGCCCTGTGCTTCCATTTTTGCTTTTGAATCTGATATGCCGATTAACCTAGGTTTGAGTCACCTCTCTGCCTCTTATCAGCAGGGTGCCTTGGGCAAGTCATCTAACTTTTCTGGGCCCCCATTTCCTAATCCATTAAATGATGCTCCTTTAACAGTGATGCTCACTGTATGCTGTTGTAAGGACAAAATGCACAAGAAACAAAGTACCCAGTGCAACTCCTAACACACAGCGGGAGTTCAGTAAAATGGTGGCTGCCTCTGTGTAGCTCCCTTGTTCTATTTTTGCCGGATCTCATAGGTTAATCATTCGTTTCTGCTTCACTTCTCACTAACAATTTGCAGTGCCCTTCTTTTCCCTAAGAGAGTGCCAAACCCCTTAGCAAGTGCCCCCAGTGAGTTCCCCTCAGCACACTGGGCTTTGGACTGCTTGCTGTAACCAGAGTCCATATGGTCTCCTTCGGCCCCAACCACTCTGGGCATGACCTTGTTTGAGCCACGCCGTTCACAACCACAAATTGTCCCATCCCCATATAGAGGAGCCACCTCTCCCCTTTAGCTCTGACAACTCCTTAGACATCTTCCTCCTGGCTAAGGGCCCAAGAGGGGAGGAGATCTCTCCCAGCAGCCCAGCCTTCCCCTAAGCCCTTTCTCTGCTAATCACAGCAGCCGCAGCTGAACCCCAGTCTCTTTGGGGGCCAGCTGAGGCTGTTGGCAGCCTTCATTTCATCCCCACACTTAATAAGTTGAGGAAGGGAATTAGGGTATCCCCGCAGCTGACTGCCAATTACCAGGGCTGTTTCTGGAGACAAAAAGTTCTCCCTTAGTTTGTCTTGAGTGAGTTCCACCCATACCTGTTTACCAACTGAGTTGGTTAAGGGACACACCAACCCCCAGGCCCTGACAGCCTGGTGACTTCCCAAGGCCAAAAAGACTGGGTTTAATTGGATCTGCATCCTCAGACGTAGATGATGACTCAGCGTGCAGATCCCCAGAGACCTCCAAATCTCAGAATCTTAGGTCTTGCCCAGTGATTCTTCTTTTTGTGCATTTGGCAAACTTAAATACTAGCATTTTGGGCAGCACACTTCAGGGATTCGGAAGGTTTAAAACAATATCAAACAAGTCAGCAATGGTGACACCACGGCCACGGCTAAAATATGACCGAGTCACCTTATCTAGGAGCTTCGCAGTGACTGCTTGCTGCAGTTTGCATAGAACCAGTCGCTGCCCTGACTGAACCTGGGACGTTCTAGAGATAAAGCTGCCATGTGTTTGCATCCACATGCCATCCTGGCTTTAAGCTCTGTCCACTCCCTGTCTCCCAGTGAGCCATGCCCTGCCGTATCCTGGGCCTGCCGCTTGCAGCCATGAGAGCCTGTGTCCTCGTTGTGCTGCGTGGGCTGCAGGTTGGGCTCAGCTGACACACATAGAGCCCACCTCCTCTTGGTGACATTCGTCCACTTTAAGGGAGACTCAGGTTCTGCTTGAAAGCCTGTAGAAGAGGGACCTCACCATCCTGCTGTTCTGTTTGGAAGGGCCCTGGTGCAGGAGCTGGAGTCGCCCTCTCTCCCTAACCCCCCATCACAGCGCCCAGGCCTCTTTTGCCTGGGAAGCCCGCATAGCACTCCTGTGCTGCCTTCTGGTTAGGGTGTTTCCTCAATCGAGAAGGAGCCTACAAAGCTCGTCTTGATTCTCAGCACTCCTTGGGTCCTGAGAATCTGAATGTTGAGGATATTCCTCCAGAAAAACTCACGTGACTTACACACACTGAGATGCTTCCTGTGCCTTCAAGGGGATTGCTGTGGGTGCATCCTTGGAGTTAGAAGGACCCTGGGTAAGGACCCCTGGTCCCAAGCCCCTCAGCACATGACAAAACCAGGTCCCCAGAGAAGAGTGGGGAGAGCTCGATGAGACTGGAAGCTGGCTTTCCTACCTGTACTCTCAACACTGGGCGGGTCAGTGTCTCTTTTTAACAACAACAACAAAATATATATATATATATATATATATATATATATATTTATGTATGTATGTATGGCTGCATTGGGTCTTCGTTGCTGCGCACAGGCTTTCTCTAGTTGTGGTGAGCGGGCACTACTCTTCATTGTGGTGCACAGGCTTCTCATTGCAGTGGTTTCTCTTGTTGAGGAGCACAGGCTCTAGGCGCATGGGCTTCAGTAGTTGCGGCGCGCAGGGTTAGTTGCTCCACGGCACGTGGGATCTTCCCGGACCAGGGCTCGAACCCATGTCCC